AACCATAAGTTTGCCTTCTGTACCCACAGCAGACCCCCCACCGATTCATCATGAACGAGTCTTGCCCCCTCTACCTCCAATGTCTACAGAACCAAAATATCGGCAAGATCCAGTCGCAGAAGTACCATTGACATGGCCGTCTTCAAATCCTCTAACCGCATATTATCAGCCGGGCCCCTCACAGCTATCTCCTAAAACAACGACTAGAAGAAGTACAGATTCGCCAAACGGGATGGACTTAGATTTATCAGACAACAGAGCAAGGAGGGGTGGAAGTGTACTATCTATAGACGATCCTGATGTGCGACTTGCTGCCGAAGCATTGGGAGATCTTCGCGCCGGTATGATTTGCAAAGAGATCTTGGGGGAATTTTATACTAATTTTGCTGCAGATTTCATACAGTCTTCCCCCCGTCAGCGTACTGCTCCCTCTTCAAACTCCCCTCGGTTTCGACAAGGTGGTTCTACACAACCAGAACCCCTCCTCTCACTTCTCACCACATCCCACCCCCTCATTGGCAATGCGATAGGCGGTTCACTATCCGCATACTCGGCTTCCAAAAACTATAGTCCACGTTTTAAGTCTAGTGCAGAATACGTGGAAAGAAGGATTACTCCGGTTGTCAATACAATTAATTCTGTCAACCGTATTACTGGAGTTGAAGGGGGTGTGCGTTGGTTCCTTGGTGGTCGCCGGCCGAGCCATCATGGACCGTCCGATACCGAATCCGATTCCCCTTCTCATAAGCGACGGAAAGTCAATACGTCCTCTCCGGCCGACCTCGAAGGTCAGCCTATGCAGTTTGAAATACAATCTGATCAACAGCGCCGCCGTCGGCCTAGCCAGGCTTCTACAACAGACAGCCTTCCTGCATATGATGATCAACGTAGTCCTAGCTATGAAGCTTCACAGCAAGCATTAGTACCATCAAACCGAGGATCTGAAGAATCTGCATCTCCTGGGAGCTCCTGGCAATCCCGTCTCGTCCTTTCGACCTCGGGACTCAGTGTCGCAATGTCGGAAGAGTCGCTCCGAAGTCTGAAATACTGCCTCAGTTGGATTCGTTGGGCAAATGAGCACATAGGGAAACTAATTGTGGCATTGAAAGCAGTCTTGGAACAATATGACAATTCTGGCACCATTGCTGACACCCCCTACTCCGAAAAGGGAGCTGACAATAATCAACGTCAAATAGTGCTTCACACAGATGATCAGCGCTCAGCCTTGACTGCAAAGATTGCGCAGTTGAATAAGGATGTCTTGAAGACTTTGAAAGAGGTGGTAGATATTGTCTCTAAATATGCTGGTGGTGCTCTTCCCGAAAATGCAAGAGATCTCGTACGCAAGCACTTGACCTCTTTGCCACGACGATTTCAAATCGCAAATTCCGTTTCAAATGGTGAGAGTAGAAGTCATCGGGATGGAGACAGTGATGCCAAGGAAGGCGCACAAAGAGTCATGGTATTGGCAAAAGAGGGCTTGGATATGATGACTCAAGTATCAGGAGTCTTGGACGGAACAATAGTCAGTGCAGAAGAATGGTGCGAAAAATTAGGGAGAAAGAAAAGGGAAGAAAGGGAGACAAATACTCCACAGGATGAAAAAACGATGAATGGTGGGAGAAACGGAAGGGACGAAGTTTTACCAGTTGTTGGCGGTGATATCAAGATGGGGTATGCAGGGTTCGGTGAGGAGAAGCCTACACTTGTTTAAGTTTGGGTAATTCTTATTATCACTCTTTTGGTCTGGAAATTCTTTGAGTATGCGCATATGGCTATAAGTGGTGGAGTATTTAGGGTACGGAATTGGAAAGATTTAAAGCTTGGCGTATTGGAATCTGACGGTACAAAGGGCGTCAGGTTGTGGAAGAGGAGAACTGGGAAACAAGTGAGGATTATATCTCTGCGCATACGGTTCACAGAAGGAGTTGATACTCGCGACAGAGATTGATACTACAGAATGGTTTGTGGAACTTTGTGTTTGCACTCTGAGTGAGCGATATTTATCGATGTAAAAGAATAAATATATTCTAGATTTCTGATGCAATGCTGGCTTGGAACTCTTACTGCATGTGTGAATATGATCCGTTTGAGCGGGCTGATGGAGCAATCTATTAACAAGGTACGTTCGATTGCCTAAGAATGCCTATATTCCTGTATCCCCCGATATCATTCTTCAGCTTCATCTCTATCTCAAGTGGGATGGAGACGGAAATGAAAATGGAAATGAAAATAGAGTTGAAAATGACATCCATTGGAAATAGCATGGAGTAATATTCACATCCATCTCATTCATCACATTACTTAAAGACTCAAATACTCAAATCCTCTTGTTAGTTTCGTCTTCTTATTTCTACTTCTATCTATACCCACATATCCACATACTCCAATCCTCGAATTTACATTGCTCTCCCTACTCCGTCTTTTACCTCTCACGATGTAGTTCAGATACCTAAGTATGTACCCATGTAATACAGGTCACGGGATCGGGATCGGGATCGGGATCTATATATAAAGTCTAGAATTGATTTAAAGTATATAGGTGTGCGGTTTGCAGATTTCATGTTGTGGCTTGAGGGGTTTAGATATTTAGGTAGGCCCCGGGTAGGTATGTATTTATGTTTGTGTTTGTGTTTGTGTGTAAAGAATGAAGAATGATGGATTTGGGAGTAAAGATGAGATGGGATGGGACGAGATGGGGGTGTGTGAGAGGTACTGATGCTGGAGTGGAGATATTATATTTCTCTTTTATTCTTATTCTTGGTTCTTATAGTGAAGATATCCAGATAATTGGAGTATATGTCCTTGAAATTTGGATAAAAAAGAGTTGAATAAAGTTACGTCTGGGTTTTTCATTGTGGGGGATTTTATGGTGAGGCTAGAGATCTATCTATCTACTTGTCTATCTACCTAAGCTGGGCTGGATATGTGGTAGGTGCTAAAACTAACAATGCTAGGTAGGGTATTTTAGTTAGTTAGTTGATTGTTTAACTAGGTACCTAATTATATGAATATATGTGATGATGATTATTTTCATTTTTTGAATCATTTCGTGATTGTGATTGAGAATGAGATTGAGATTTGGAATTGAAGATGTGTGGCTTCTGGAGTTTGCTACAGGCGGGCTGGAGTGGAGAGTTGAAAGTAGATAGTGAGATGGGGAGTTCCAAGTTGGGTTGAGGAATGCGGAGAAGCGAAGGCTTTCTTTTTTTTTCTTCTCGTATGATAGTGATGGGAGGATGGGAGGATGGGAGGATGGGAGGATGGGAGGTTGAAAGGTTGAAAGGTTGTGAGTGTGGATATGTGTAGATGGAGTGGAGAGTTTTGAGTGAATAGAGTAAAGGAAAGGGGATAAGTGTGGGTAGTGTGGGTGTAGTTGTAGTTGATGGGGTGAGGGTAGGGGATGGGTGATGGGTGGAGATAGATAGGATGGAATGATGTAGTAGGGAAAATGTAGATAAATGCGAGAGGTTGTGACACCTACCTACCTACCTATCCACTCATCTGCTGCGCAATCCCCAGATACAACAACCAAGCCGATCTCAAAGGGAGTGCGAACCAAACCCCACACAAATCTCACGAACTCTGCGTAAGCGGTCTTGTTATTTTCGACGGACGAGCCCGAGCGATCGAGTTTATAGAGCTGGGATTAATCTGTAGAGATAATGGTAAAATATGGGGTGCTAAGCGAGTCTGAGATGTCACATCTCGTGATTCGTCGTTTGTGTATGAGATGGGTTGGGGAGACTTTGGGGGCGAGGAGTGGTGTACTGTTAATCTGTCGTGGGATGTGTTGATTGTGGGATTTGTGGTTGGAACTCGATGGTTTTTGGTTTCTTGGGGAGGGGGAGGGGGAGCGGGAGCGGGAGCGGGAGCGGGAGTTCTTTGGGTTTGGCTTGGGAGTTGTTGGTGAGAAGTTGCACGTGGCTGTACTGGACTTCGGGTATTTGGATCATTTGGATGGTTTTGGGGCTTGGATAAATGAGCTGATACGTTGGAGAGACGTTCGAGAGATGGAAGTGCAAGTCCCGATGAAGCTATCCGAGAGTCTTGGCCATGAATCCCAAAATCTCTTAATTCGACTCCCTCATCTGCGAGTTGCGGTTCTTGTCTTTCAACTTCTCGACGGTTTCGTGAACTGTGGTTTTCAACATCAAATTCACCAACCGGAGATTTCGACCCATCACTCCTTGGCGTCTCCATCAACCATCTCAGACACTTCTTGACTCTCCCCTCTTCTTTTCCCCACAATCCTCTTACATGTAATCTATTAACTCCCTGTAGCCCAGCCTCCGCTTCATCAACTACTAGCTCCCCGAAACTTTCTCTTAAGAAAAGTATGAAGCGTGATAGACACCATAGAATAATAATAACACCGATGGTTATATACGAGCCCGCGATGAAATTCGAAGGTATGACGCGTTTGTCTACGACAGAATAGATGAGGATTACGGTACCTGTGATGAGGAAGACTGTGAAGAGTGCTAGAGGGAGGAGACGAGCGGTGAAGGCTCGGAGCATGTAGAAGCGAGGGGGACGGACGAGAGATGTGGCTGTAGTAGAGGGTGAACGGTTGTTTGCGGGGTTGCTTGCGGAAGGCCGGGTGGGGGACGGTGAGGTGTGGTTTGGGGAAGTCATGTTGAAGGATATCTGCAGATGATTTGGTGGAGTCGATGGGAATGATGAATGGATTTGTTGCTATTGTTGGTAAGTGATTAGTGCGCGGTTTTTGTGTAGATACGTGTTTGAAGAGCTCATTGTGAATTTCTCGAGAAGAAAATGTTGATCGATGGTTCTAGTTTGATTGTTTGAAAAGTGTTGTTTTCTCATGTTTCACGAACAATCGAGACTCGAGGATTGTGGAACCCCTTAGCAAATATGGCTTATCACCACAAGTATCATCATTCTCGATGTTAGAATTGAGTTGATCATTAAGCCTCCATCCAATAGTTGTATTATATGTCGAAAATGTTAGACTCATTGTATTTGCTTTGAAATGGCTAATCATTGTTGAATTCTTTTGGAGTAACCTATAAATCGTAATTATGGCTACGTATTTTGACCCATTCAACATGACAATCACTGCATCTTACATAAGAACATTCTGGACAATTTACAATTTCCGTCGTCATCCCCCAAGATGTGTAGTTTCCACTATAATCTCGACACCAGCAACAGGTCCAAATAGCGACACCGGCTTTCCGCGATATTGAAGTTGTTGTAGATGGTTGGGCTGAAGGTCTAGTATCAGGTTTCAAATTGCTTCGTGGCAGCTTTGAGACAGATTTAGATTGTATCGTTGGAAGCTTTGCATCGCTGTTTTGTGGTCTCAGAAGCTCCGCAGATTGTGCAGTCGGGGGTTGATGATTCAATCGATAGACGCAGCGTGCGAAATTTTCAGATTTGACAGCCTCAGATACCTCTGTGTCGTGCTGTTCCATAGCCACTTGCGATACAGGAGAATAATGGTTCCTGATCTTGTTGGCAACTCCAGGCTCAAGTATCTCTTTCTGACACGATGAACTTTTTAGATTAGCTAACCTCTGGGAGAACTTAAGGTACAAGAGGGTTTACTCACCATTTCATCCATGCATAATTGTCCATATTGATTAGAACGCCCGAACAACTGGTGTCAGGGCATCTATCCTTTACTTTGTTACTATAGTCAAGCACCATGGCCATTTCTATGTGACACCCTGGCTTAATGATCCGCGACCAGGTATCAGCCGTCAGAGCAGATTTCTCCGATTTATTCGCGAGTAGATATGACCCTCGTTCTACCCAGGATTTCCCAACTGTATCAGAGAACGATTGATATAAGAATGCCTGAAAGACCTGAAATTGTTGATAGAAGTTCAGCTTTATAAGGATATACATACTTGAAAATTATTAAAAACATCAAACTGAAGAACTCTTGGAGGACGGCCAAGTGCATCATGAAACGTTATGTGATATATCGCAAGCAGGTTGGGTGTCAAGGGCCTCGACAGCATGAGCCTGTTGGCTAGATATAAACTTTACAGAATTAGTCTTTGAGACTTCATATGAGAGAAGGAGTAGAGTACCATAGATTGCGCAGGAACATTCCTGCATATAAAATAATGCTATAATATCTGTGAGGATTAACATCAGATTGTATCATTTTATGATGAATACCAGCAAGACTTACATATTTCGCAACGATTGTTTGATCTCCTCGTCGCTCGCTTCGAGCGGATCTCTGTTCGTTGCTTGAAACAAAACATTGCTTGCAGGAGGTGACTCGGTATTACCTGCCCTTCGTGGGCAACTGCCAATGATAGGTATTTGAGAACTATTGGACGTTGGTCCAAGCGTGCTGGTTATATGCTCTTTTATGTTGTGAACAGCAGCATCAAAAGCACCATTATTCTCGGGCCTGGAGTCATCGATCTTAAGCGATTGCAACAATAGAATGATATCTTCTGCTTTAGAGTATAATTCTTTATGCTGCTCATTCCTTTCCCTTCGTATTATAGATATTTCACTCCGTATAGGATTGACCATTCCTTCTAGAATTGAACCCATCTGAGGCGTAAGAGTATTCATAAATAGTTGTTTCAATTCGTCGGGAAGAGTAAGGACGACTTCCCTTTAGGTGACCATGAATTAGTATGAGTATTGCAAACAGTGAGGGCAGCGAGGACAGCTCATTAGGAAACACTCACAACGTAAACCGATTTAAAAGATTGTCGAGCGTAAGTAAATGCACTTCGATTTCCTTCTTAAGTTTGTGATGGGAATGCTTGAAAGTCCATAACATCTTTTGGGGTATGTTTTTCCACCAGCCGGGTGTAGCGTTGCTACCTAAGTGTGGTTCAAAGTTCTTCATGATTTTGATAAAACGCTCCAAAGGCGGTCGAATATTCTCGATTTGTCTACGTATCTCATCTCCATACGAAGGATATACCCCTAATGTAGCGAAGACATGTAGGTTCTTTAACGTGAGATTAACATTCTCAAGAAAGACAGCCATTTTGCGAAACTCATCAGGAGCCCCACTTGCATCATCAAGGGCTTTTACAACCTTGACAATCAAAGATATTGCCTGCGCAATATCTCCAGCAGACCATCCAAATGACATGGTGTATATTGACGTGATAAAGAATAGCGATGAGGGACCGAACTTCAAGGACGAAAGGTTCGATCTTATACAACACCCAACGAGGCTGTTGTCTGCTAAGCCACATGTGATGCTGCAAGACTAGGTACTCTGTATATTACCTTGAAAGCGTGCATGGGCATCCAGCCAATGGTGGAAAATCTCATGTCTATGCATTCTCACTCAAATATTTGGGATATGCTAATTGATTCGTGACGGCTCGTTGCTATATAGGGCTGTTTGGTTATTATTGCAGTTTTGTAAAATCAACGGTATATTAGACAGACTCAAGCATGATATATTCATTGTAAGCAATTAGCTATACGAGAAACCCGCCGAATTCGTTGGAAGCACATCTCAACTTTCGGCTCTTTTGACCAAATGGAACATTTTCAGACATTGAACATCCCCGAGAGTTCAATTATGACTGCTAAATGAGGTAGCACCAGATGAAATGAAGCACTGAGATTTGCGCATCAAAGACTTTGGGAGGTGGGGATTAAGGGAAGAAAAATTGCAGACCATTATGGCAGCGTAACGTATTATCAGAACTGAGAAAGACAAGCCACTTCATCAAGAGAGGGGTGTGTTCCAGGACAGTAAGGAGAAACATTCGTTCCAAGTATCCGCAAATCTTCAGACAATAAACTCGATGTGGTGAGGCATTTGAAAAGTATGTTTGTTTCACAGAACAGAATATTAGTAAATAATGGGTCCGTCCGTCCATTCGAGATGACGGAGCGCATCATATGTAGAGCCATTCGGATTCTCTGGGTCTAGGTAGATGTTGCTCACTACTCCTCTCTCAGGACGTCCTACTTTGGTTAGAGTTTTGATAATCTTTGTGTGACCTGGATGTGATAGCTTACTTCCATGTTCTGCATCGTAAACCCTTAACTGCCCTCGCCATGCAAGATTATTGATCAGAACATTGTATAGGGTGTCATCATCAGTGCAAGAGAACGCCACCAATGCCACAATGGTAGCAAGATTGCCAGCGAGTCCTTCCGTTGGTCGGTTCCTACGATTGCGGTAGGCCTGAAGCCCAAGCTGAGCAATCCAAGCCCCGTCTCTCCCAGCAAGATATTGCTCCTCCACAGAAGCAGATACCCTTGAAAGTGTTCTTTCATATCGAAAAGTCAGGGGATACCATCTGTTGTATGGGAAATCTGAAGTTGCGATGTCTATCGTTGTTGCATCCGCTTCCATCATTTGAAACTGCGTAAATTCATTACACCAAAACAAAGTTGTACTACTGTAATGTTGAAGCGTTTCGTTGTTCGGATAGGTCAAACCTTGCCCGCCAAACCATTGGTAATTGGCCCCAGCATATTCGATATGTCCGTTGTTCCATCTAAACATTCGCCCGGGAGTCTGAGGTAAGAAACCATCTCTATAGACGGGTGGCACCCATCGTCCATTCTCGTTTACCCTCGGAGGTCTACCTCCGTTCTCGGGATCCTCATTAACATAAAGCTCATTCACATTGAAAAGGAAGCTAGTATGGTATTGGTGAGCCATTGTATCAGTAGTTTGCGTGCCTGGTTTATTTGTTGTCGCGAGGGTCTCTGTGTCGAATTCTGAATCAGGGAATGTCAGAAAGCTCATGAAGATAGCAAACTCACATGTACATCAGAAATCAATACATAAACTTCTCTTCAAGCTTGTACTGAGTGCTGTGAAGATTTTGACCAAATGATCGATAGATTTTAGTCAAAAGCACGTATCTATTCAGCTTGCGACAGGATGAATGTCTTGAAGAATTGCAGAGAAACACTTGTGATAATTCGAAGACAATTCTGAGAGTTAGCAAGGTCATTATCTGGGTATATGGAGATATGGTATAGTCCTCGTGACGAACATTGATTGGATGTCGGCCTATTTTTTGCACCACAATCCTGGCTGACGATGCACATTCGATGCACCTTTTAGCAGCCCCATGGGATGATAGCGACTAAACGTATGTTCAAGCATAGTAACACATTCCACTTTGAATCATTCCCGTATCGAAAACGACGAGACAACTCAGAGTTGGCATATTATCATCTCCGAAAGTAAGCTACAGATCTCCTTCCCCAGACTTACAAATATTTCGAGAATATCTCTTGAATTCAACGAGCGAAATATAACTATCGATAACTGATCCATGTACTTGCTCCACAGCGTCCACTTAGACAAATGGAGGGGCACAATATGCCATCCTGGTAGATAGAAACTTGTGTAGGATTCGTTCATTACCGATATGGTCTTAGTTGCGAATATGAGGCCTATCACGAACAAAGTGGCTGCTGTAGAACACCATAAATTGAACATTGATGTGTTTCATCTTGGCAAGAGGAGTATTTTGCCACCGATCTCGAGAGTGCTAGATTTGATCAGGAAATCGGTGAACAAGTTTGCAAAGTACAAAATCCAGGGATTCCAATATTGTTCTGAATGCAGTGTATATCTACTTCCCCTTTGGTAATACTACCCCCGAGAGGTAGAGGGTTGTTTGCGTAGTCTGAAAGTTGCATGAGCAATTTGTACTGTGTATTGAGGCTCAAAATTCGGGCAAGAAATGCCGTGTGCTATAAGTTGAGGAGTCCCCGCCGAATAATTGCGAACCGCTGGCACGTTTGTGCGATCCCAAACGACATATGATTTATTGAATCAGATGTGAGCGGCTGGGTGATTGGTGGATATGTATAGTCCCATGGACGAATCATATGTTCTGTAGCCTATTGTTATTTAGCGATGATCCAAAGGTTCAAGGTATATGAAAATGAGACGAAGGTATATGAATACATACCACAGGAAAAAAGGGGTACGTATATTTTATAGATATATTCGAGATCGCTTCGACGGTAGTCAACCTTCTTCGTCGTGGGAAGTCCTCAATATATACTTTTAATTCACTGTGAACCATGCAGTTATGGGTAGACTGCTTCTTTCAAACACTTCACTTGAGCTGGGCGTTCATATTCCTTTTCTCGTTAGCACGGTTGCCTCGTTTTTTATCACAAAATTTGCCTCGTCTCAACGAGCTACAAAACACATTTCTGGTGGACATGTGCCAATTAAGGGCCACTTTTGAGTCCGTCCATGCACTTCCAATGCAGTATGGGGGGAGAATGAGAGCGCGGCTTACCACTGCAAAAGTTACCGAAGCCAAATGATGAACTATGACTTGTCAATTTTTAGTAAGAAATATGAGTAAAATTTGGAATTTTGTATCCCTGGAAATTGGAGGGCAAGGTCCATTTAAGCAATATATTTGCCCAGTAACCAATGGTATATGCAAGGTTTGACAATGTCGGCCAAGGATCGAGAATGATATCTCGCTGGAATTCCTACTCGGTGTACCTCATTCGCCATCGTTGCACAAAGCATCCAGAACATCTGGTGTTCATGTGAACCTGGAATATTCCTGAAGTCAGCAAGGGAACACAATAATGCTCACCTCGATCTCAAAGAGGAAGATATACATGTCATGGGAACATGTATATTGTGTCAGTGGTAGTGCTACACACCAAGGATAATAATCATGGCGCTCAAGCATTGCGAACAATTTGTATATTTGTGTCTTTTTGAGGTTTGTCGTTTCAATGTTGAGATGCTAAATTCTTAGTATGACTCGCTAATTATTTAGGCCCGACGCTTGGAACACCAACAAGCTATCTTGGCTCCCTCCCCCTTTGAATCTAAGTGCCGACAATTTTGTGGTTGCTTACAGATGAGAAATCCTCGGAACTTGTCAAATCAATGACTGTATACTTATTTCCGTAGTGGTATTGGCAGAATCTCATCGACAAGTGTAACAATATTTGGAACGTCTAGATCGAAGGCCCCATGATTCTGCCCTATCGTTTGAAACGCTACATAAATGAAGACAACAATCAAACGACAACTAGGAAGTTTCGAAGAGCTGTAGGAAAACCTAGTTGGGGAGATCCGCCACTCTCCAGCTGTTCATTCCACGTGTATGAGCACCGCAGATGGTTTCCAAGGCCATGTTTACGAATTCCTCTTGAGCTCTGTTTGCCGCACAAACAATACGACATATGCATATGGTGATTACATGGCCTGAGGATGGTTTATACAAGAGACGGATACAACTACTACCACAACTTTGTCTAGGGGCAGTTTCCTCGATATCCAACTGCAAAGCTTCATCACCCTATAGCTACAGGCTTTTCACGATTCTCAATCCGTTTCAGTTTTGTTCTATGTTCATTAAAACTAATCCCGTTTGCATTTTCACTTTATTCTCACATTCACAAGTCAAGCACAAGTTCATAAGGGAAAAAATAAATATTATCGTTGACGTTATCTTACATGCTGCTCTTCCCTTGCCGTTAAACTTAGAACTCCAGGTTCAAGGACTAGCATCTGCAAGAGGAATTTTGTTCAATGGGATAGCTCTCGAACAAAACTTCTTCATTGGCTGGCAGACTGGACTCATTCCATCATCATCGGGCTTCATTGCACCTCGAAACACCATCATGTCAGTCAAGTCACAATAGAAGAACACAAACAATGAATCGCATTGACCGAAGGTCGTTTGTGAATTGTTCGTTGCGCAAGCATTTTCCAACACACCGAGGCAAGTCGCGATTGCCACAGGATCAATGCCACTTGGGGTACCTGTGGCTGTGGCTTGAGCGTTGGAATTTGTCTTCGTCGTCGATTGCTTAGTTGTTGCCGTGGTGTTGTAAAATGGATGACTGAAGGTCTGAAGATGAACTGGAGATGAAGCCTGGGGAGAGTTGACCTGAGCTGAGCATGGCATTCCGATGATACCTGGACGGATCAATAGGAACCCAACGAAGAATCCAAGAAGCGCAACGATAACAATCAAGATGCAGATGACGATGGGGTAGCAACTTCTCTTAGTTTTCTTACTTGGCACGGAATACTTCATGCTGCGCTGTCTTCTCGCCTGCTCTCTTGTAGCCCCCGCTGGGTGCAAGTCGATGTCAACAAATTGGTCTCCTGAGGCC